TGGTCTTCATCAACGACCCTGATCTTCTTCAGAGTGTTTTATGTCTCTGTTTTTTGCTATGCTTTGCAGGTTCGTTATCAAGATTATCAAGACTACCAAGATTGAGTACCAAATCATCATTTTCATGTTCGTCAGGGTCGGCAGCGCCGTCTTCACTGCTGTGGCCATCTCAGTCAACAATGTCTCGTCATCACCTGTCTCGCCTCTCGTCTCATGATGCCTCCCCCCCTTTTTTTTCTTTTTTTTTTTCCACTGATTCCCGTACTCGACTTCAACCCTTTTTTCTTTTTTTCTCCTTTCCTGCTTCTCTTTTCTTTTCTCCCCATCAATCTTTAATCAGTGCACTTCATTTTTCTGTGAGGCTTCACTCGTCATTCCCAAGGGGGAGGGATGAAGAGGGGGTCAATGGAGAATGGCAAGATGAAGTGTGGTTAGTAAGAAGGATGGGAGGGAGGGGAGAACCGGAAAAGGGAGAAAAAAGAAAGGGATAAGTAGTTAGGGTAGTGGAAAACCAGTGGAAGGGAGGAGGGTGGGAGATGAGGGTGTGGAAGTGTCTACTCAATCTTACCTTCTCATTATAAATCATCTTCAACAAAATAGAAATTAATTATTCCTACTAATTATCCTTTGCGCAGTGCGCCATCATTCGCAGAGTAGGCTTCTGTGTGCTCTAAATTCTAAACTATCATTAGGGCATTCGTGCCAGTTTTCGAATATAGAACATCCTAATCAGTACCCCCGCTAAATCTTCCGTATTGATGTTCTGACATCATCATAATCATCTGCAAATACTTGCTATTTCGTAGTCTAGATTAATATCATCTAAAATCACCATCATTATCTTCATCATCAATTTTGGTCTCCCTAGCTTTCCCTCGCTGGTTTATGGTTCAATTTAGTTGTGATGGTAGGTGGTTTAAGGTGGGGAGAGCTCTACTTCGCAAAGGCAGCACAAGGAGGGAGGTGCTCGCCCGATAGGGAGTAAGGGCAGATTCAGGGACTGTTCCAATCTGGGGCTGGGAGGGATGAAAAGGGTCGCATCACCTTCTAACCGGTGGCAGATTAGGGCAAAGGCAGAAAGAGGTGTACCATTAGGGGGAATTGGTTGCCTTGAGGGGAGTAAGGAACGATGAGGTGTCATTCCCCCCCCTTGTTGGGGCTGAAACGAACTGCCTGTTTTCAGTGCAGTTCTGCTCAGCGGAGGCAGCAGGGGGGTGAAGGGGAGGTAGGGGGGGGGAAGAGATGGGGAGGAGAGGGGAAGCTCAACACTAGTCAACATTATCATCTGCTTTTTCACTGGTCTTTTCATTATTGTCCTTTTCCAACTTTTTTCTCCTCTAAGTCGCTATTCATTGAATACAGGCGAGATGGCAAGCGGGTAGTATTGAGGGAACTGATCTCTATAGGAGCATCACAAGGTGAGAGGTGATTGCTCTGTAAGGAGGAAAGGTTGAACATGGGATGTACTAATCCGGAGTTGGATAACATCTAGCGGTGGCAAATTAGAACAACGGAAAGATCGGAGCATACTTTTGGGGGAATGGTATGCGTCGAGGTAAGCAGGGTTGCAAGTGGGTTTGCCCCTAGTTGGGGCTGAAAAGGACTGCTCCTCATCAGGGTGGTTCATTCAGCGGAGGCAACAAGGGGCGGAAAGGGACAGGCAAAAAGAGAGAAGGAGGTAATCTCCATCATCCAATCTTCATCATCAGAAGGTTTTTTCTGTTTAGGATTTTACTGGAATCAGATCCTGGAATGCTAGGTGTCATTATTGAATTAGCAGTTTCTTGAATGTGTTGTGTTTTTGTAATTGCCTAGGTTGAGTGGATGCCAGAACGACGCTGGCCAATACTGGGGCTTGCCCTGTAACCTGCATGAGTAGGAGCTTGAGGCCTTGTAGAGAGATCTGGGGATTGCTGAGGGAGGAAGGCGATTCAGTAACTTGACTGACGGCTACAATTGGGACTGACAAGGGTCGGAGCTGGGGTAGGTAGCTCTGCCCTGTAACTCAGCTAGATTGAGGGCATGAGACCGGGTAGAGGCTTGATTGGTACATGGCACAACTCTGTTCAAGGGATGCTGAATTGATAAGTTCACCTGAATTTAGGGATAGGATTGAAATTGAATCCTGAGTAGAATGACCTTCTGGCTAATCTTCCTAGTTTATAATCCAGTAGCGTATAGCCTTTTGAATCATCATGAATCTTCCTGAATCATCCGGAATCATCTGGAATCATCTGGAATCATCTGGAATCATCTGGAATCATCCTCAAATCATCCTGAACCATTATTAAGCATTGTATTCTTATTATAAGGGACGTTGGGCCCGGTTCCCAGCACGTGCTGCTCCCCACGAATAGATCGGAGCTTTAATAAAAAAAAATAAAAATAAAAAGGAAAAAAAACACACACACCATCAGCAGTGCTGATAAAAACGGCAACGAAATTACCTTCGGTAAACCTTCTCGCATCTGCAACAACAGCGGCGGCGAATGATGAGTAAGATGAGAAGTCCATTCACGATTCGCTTTCTGTAAGAGAGAATCTGGGGTTTGAGGTGGACTGAGGGTAGGAGATTGAGCTTGATGGTGGGACTCTGTTTGATTACCGGGTCCCGTCTCTCCCGATCATTTTGTGTGGAGTTTCTCCCGATTGACCCAATCCTCTTCATCTCGTGTCGGGAGGGGGTGGGGTAGACGATGACCCTTTGATGGATTGGGGTTGGCTGACCCTCAAACCCCAATCACCATGACCTGTTGATTTCTCCCCAGGTTAAATGTTGGACATTTATGGTTGCATGGGTTGATCGCGTCTTGCTTTCAGGGGGGCGTGTGGGAAGTACGCTCTGTCATGTGGTTAGGAGGGCAAGAGTCCCTTGGAGGGAGAAAGTGTTGCCTGTCTCGTCCATGATGTCCGGGTGGCCGAAAATCGGTTGGCGGGACCACTTCCTCCCATCTGAGAGGTGTGGGGGTGCGTTGTGGCCCTCTTTCTCTCCAGAGTTTAACCATTGTATGCCATAACGGATTGATTATGAGATCTTGTTTTGCCCTTCCTTCCGGTGAGTGTTCGACCACCCTTCCTGGGCCCGAAGGCAAGGACCAACACCTGTTGGTTAACCACTGCAGTGGATGCACTGGACGGAGGGGGTGAGAGGRGGGCGCAATGCAATGCAGYTGAATGCAGGCGTACGGGGCCCACGGGATATTGTTCCCCAAGAGAAGGCGGATCAAGAATTTGAAAAGCAACGCCTTGATCTCTTCTTCTGGGTCAATTATTCCTAACCTAAACGAAAGGAAGTAGCCGAATGGAGACCTTCCCCAAACGAAATGGAGTCAGGTGGTCCTACCTTCGTAACAGGAGAAATCGACGTTTTGAACATTGTTCGGGCCTTAGACCACCGGATTCCATTGTCGATTGGCCATTTGCTATCTATATCAGAACAAGCTAATAAACGCACGCTGCAGCATTGCAAAGCGAACAGAAAACAGTTCGCTCTTAGTAAACTGACAACGACGAAAGGGAAAGCCCCAGCCCGCGATGACAAGCCCGAAAAGCCCAGTACGTCAGACCCAATACGATTGAGACTAATCCAAAAAGATGATTATTTCTTACGCATCAAAGCCATTCCGTGGAAATCTGCGGAATGTGACATCGAAGTATGGGGAGTCTCGTACAATGCTGTTATCGATTCAGGAGTAGCCGTTTTGGCCATATCACTGAGGGTTGTGGAAAAGGCAGGGCGATGGAAAAATTTGAGCACGCTAACCGAGAAAAACCATCTCATCTCTGCGGATGAAGAGAAGATAAAAGCAGTGGGAAGAATGACGAATGTCGCTTTTCGGTTGGGAAGGATTCATGCTCTAGGGGATGTGGTAGTATTGGATGTCAATACCTACGATGTCCTTCTGGGATTACCGGCGCTCGTCGCGCTACGGGTCAATCTGGACTTCGAACGACGATCGATAATCCTACGAAGTACAAACGCGAAACCGTATGTTATTCCAATGCGCCTAACTCTGCAAACCATGATGCCCACGACTCAGAAAGTTCCTCCGACCCCCGGAGTCGCTCTCCGAGTAATCACTTGGGAACAACCAACTTGGAAAGTCGAGCATGAGGATGAGGAACATAGTTCCTCCAGCGAATCCGATAGCGAATATGAAGTTGATCTCGATACAACCCGACTACTGATTCGCTATCCAATCCAACAGAAGACTTCCAAAACATTCATCCTTACGGAAAGAAACCTGCAACGAACTCGGGCTTTAATTTTTGGAGAACCCCTCGTACAAGTATCCCGGATGGTCGACTCTTTGGAACCCCCTTAAACCCTGTACGAAGCCACGATCAGCGTGTTTTTTTTAATCCTCTCTGATGAGTCTTTCATGAATGATCTGTCATGAGTATTGGTGCTTTGATCGACTGCATCCCATATTTGTCTGGGAGCGAGTATGGTCTTTTCGGGTACGAATCAACATGCATCTCTTTATAGCAATGGTCATGCTTAGTTGAGAATACGCTTGATGATTGATTGGAGTAGAGAGGGAATCGATTGATTATCTACCTGGTGGGGTGACGGTGAATTGGAGTGCATACCTTTATGTGTTGAGGCCCTCACAATATGTGCCCACACACATCATCACACACACACCCATCTAAGGCCCTCATGGATAGAAGCCCCTCTCGTGGCTGAAACCCATGACCATACGAGTATACATTTATCTTGGCTCGCAAAATAGGTGGATATTGAGTCCATATTTTGATTATTCTCTGAGACTCTTTTCATCATTTGTCAAGTCGTATATCGCTCTGTGGATGACGTGCTTACGATATGCTTATGTGGTTCGTTGTGTCAGGACTTTGTTTCACCCCAAGTGTTGTGGATTGCAGATCTGGTATTAGGCGACAAAGTGTGGCTTGCTCGATTTCGCCCCCCCTCCCGCCCTACTCAGACCCTGATTGTGTATGCCCAGAAGCAAGTTCTAGCTGAGATTAGGGAGAGATCCGTTTCCCCTGAAATTCACTCCCTGCCCCTGGTCGAGCACCTGTCCTTTAACGATTAGGCTGAGTTGATTTATGTCTACCGGCATAAGAGAGGGGAGTTTGTGAGCACGATCAACAAAATGGCGAGAGCGACAACGCTCGTGAAGGGTGAAGTAGACAAGGAGGATCGGACTATCAAAGCCGCGACTATCGATGCGGAGTCCAAGTTCGTCAAAATCTGGGCTGCTGATTCCCAGTTCCATAAGGATAAGGATGTCAGGTGGGTGACGATTGAGGTTGAGGTGGCGATGGAAGATGTTGAGGATGAATTGACGGAAGAAGAGAAGGAGTATTTGAGGAGGAAGGATGCGGAGGTTGCCAACACAAAGGCCTCTTTGGATTCAATAAAAAGGAAGACGTTCACAGACATGAGAAGGAATGCTTTCTTACCCCTGGCCTCGCCAAGATGGGTGGAGACCATGTCGACTGCCTTTAGTGCAAAGATATGGGGCCTGGAAACATACAATTTCCTGGCCCCGATTGATCAGAGGGGGTATCGTCTTTTGGCTTCCCTATCACAGGACGAGATAAAAGCTGCGTATGATAAGGCGCTGGAGATGAACACGATCCCACCTGATGTAAAGTTTTCATTCAATAGTGATGGGATTTTCCTGCCTCCCATGTACTCAATGGATGCGAATACGTGTGGCCTCCGTCGGCCCTCCGTGATGGTGAAAGGCAACAAACCACCGCAAAACCCATTTGCCCTTGCCGAGCTGAAGAGAATATGGAATGTAGGAAGACCGTATATCAAGTGTAGATGCACGGTAGAGGGGAGGGCTGACTGCGGTACCGGGCCTGCGTGGTTTGACCATTTGGTCTGGTTCCTCTTGTACAATCTGGATGTCATATATCTAGATGCTCCGAATCCAAGGATGAAGATTACCTTGCTCATCAAATGTCTGTCCACTTGCTGGAAGCCCCTAATGCTCACGTCCATCGCATTTGGATGTGTGAGGGGTGTTATGATGCTCCTTGCCAAAAGAATCATCGCAGATCCCTGTCTCACTACTGAGACTGTACTCACGGGAGTCGCGGGTTCGGACCGGAAGCATTCAAGGAATGCGCAAGACTGGTTCTCGTGGCCAAGTACTACGTGAAGAAGAGGTCGAAGAGCACTAGTGGCACTTCCACCTTTGGAAGCAAGAGAGCTAGGGGAGAGGGATAGTAGACGTTAGATTGCTTCGTGAATTCCACCCCACCCCGCAACCCGAATGATGTCCCTGTTGATTCTACCCCCCCCGATTCGACTGTAACCTCGGTCACGGGACGAAGGGTCAGCCTACCGGCAGAGCTCAGTGGTGAGCAGAGCAGAAACCAAAGAAGCATTCATCGGTCGATCTTCAATTGAGGACGGCATTCCTCAAGATGCCTCTGTGTCGTTTTGTGCAGGTACGAAAAAGAATCTTAGAGAAAGGACCTACGGGCAGAATGAGATGGAGAGCTTTGAGTAAGGAAGGGAGTAAGCGAGCGAGTTATGTGCATGTTCGCTATGTTGGGAGAATTTTGGAGGGAATCAACGTTGCGAGGATATTTGAGTCTATCCTTTCAAGATTCGTAAATGCCTCTGTACTAACTGTGTTCCTTAGTATTGTGTTCGGGTGGACCTACGATGATCCCATTTGTAGGCATGTGTACAAACCTGGGTCGATATTCAAATGGTTCAGTCTGAGCGATTGGTATGAGTCTCTTTCAGGGGAGGGGGTGTGCCCATGTACACGCGAGGTCAAGCTGCGACCATTCCTCATTGATGAAACACTCGCTATGACACAACCTAGTCCTATTCCGTCGAAGCATGTGCTTACGATGGATACGGGAGTCGCGGGTAATCCGTTGCTCTCAAGGCTTCTAAGGAAAGGCTTGAATCACATTCCGGTGAAGCAATCGAATAAGAAGGAGGTGATGAAGATACTAATGGGGGTTTGGGCCGATGTACTAACCATTATCGGAAGGGCTGAATTCCTTCCAGATGCATTAGTGAAACATATGACTGACTCTGTGAGAAATCTGCTCAGCAATAAGCTCAGCAAAGTACTGAAAAATGCTCAACGATGAATTATATGCCCTTTCAATATAAAAGTGATGTTAAGCATCTTACTGATACGTTGTACGTGGCTGGCACTGATAAGGCTGCTAACACGCCCTTCTTCGTCTATAAGCATCTGATTAGGGCCCTTGCACTTGACAGGTTGTCCAACTCTGACTTTCAATACCCAAATGTTTCCCCAGAACAGGTAATAGACGAAGCAAACTCCTCCCTGAAAGGAGTCTTCCCACATGTAAGAATGGAATCATCTAGCTTACCCTACTTAATGGCCATCTTCAAGCAGCACAAGGGGACGTTCAGATGGCTGAGCAATGCCTCTGACTCCTTTCTCACTACCATAGCTACCCTTGTTGATTCAGTCTTGGCATCCCTGAAAGAGATGGTCATGCAGCACTATGGGGAGATTATGAGAATGGCGAAGGCTTTTCATGGGGTGAAGACTACATGCTGGTGGGTGATTGACTGTGTGCAGGATTATTGCTATAACTTACCCCCCGATGTGTACTCAGTGTTTTCAGCCGATATCACAAAGTGCTTTGAGAATATCCCGATTGATGATTCTGCTAATGGCCTTGTGGATGYGATTCGATTCTTTGTGAATATTGCCTTCACTCGGATGAATGCGGCAACAGGGCTGAAATATGTGAGGTGTGTGTATAGGAGAAACGGAGAGGTAAAGTGCAACCTGTCTAAATCTCAGAATGCCCCCACGCATAACTCCTTCTTGTTAGCTGCTGAGGACATCATCAGTCTGAACAGGTGGATCCTATCCAAGTGCTACACGATGTTTGGAAATTCGGTGTGGCGTTAGGTGAAGGGCATTCCAATGGGGCTCCCGTGTTCCCCCATTTGAGGTCGCGTGGGGCCTCCGAAAAAAAAAGGGGGGAAGTTCATTTTTTTGTTTGCGTGTGTGTGTGTGTGTGTGTGTGTGTGTGTGTGTGTGTGTGTTGTTTGTGTGTGTGTGTGTGTGTGTGTGTGTGTGTGTGTGTGTGTATTTTTTCAAATATGAGTTCCAGTTTGTAGGGAGGCTGTTAAATTTAGGTGCCTTTCACCTGGCGAGCATGTTTAAACTGACATTCCGATACATTGATGACTTGCATATCATCAATAACACAGCCATCCTGAAATTTCTGGACCCAAATCAACCAAGGACTAAGGATAACCCGTTCTGGATTTACCCACTGGATATCATTGAGATCAAGAATCAGACCAGGGAATTCACGAGTGAACCGGATAAGCTGGTTTTTGGAACACTAGCTCAATTCCTACACTTGGACATTCGTGTCCTCCCCGACCCTAGCAGACAGTATGTTATGACAAAACATGACAAGACTCTGAATCTCTCCTTCAAACCGGCTAAATTTGTCAAGTTCGATTCTAATAGACCAATTAAACAATTCGTCAATATAATCATATCTCAAATGACACTTATCATGTTGCTCTCGTCTACTCCGATTGAAGCTGCGAAGGATATCAAGAACTTGATTGACACGATGGTAGAGAATGGGTTCCTAAGGAATAGGTGTATTGGTACTGCCTGTAAGGTCCTTGACCATCCCCACCTCTTCCAGGATTTCCGGTGCAGGAGCAGGGACACCAAGACTTTCCTAAAAGTAAGTAAGTTCACTCATAGAGGTAAGTTGTAACCTATGCGGGTGTCTGGGTGGTTGTGTTGTTGTGATGTGTCCTCTGATGTCTGAACCCTTGAAGGGTTAGTGACGAGAGGGATGTTGGGGGGATACCTGACTATGAGGGCCAGGTATTCTCCCTGACCCTCATAGTCATTTATCCCTCCGGCGGGTTAGGGGCGGGCCACACACACACACCCACCCACCCACCACACACACACACACACACCTGTCTCTTATACACATCTA